GTAAAAAAAATGCAAAAACTTGATAATATATTTATTAAACAATCATTTTTTCGAAATTGTGTCGAATCAAGAATTTTTGTTTTTCTTAAATAATGAACCGCACATCTCGGGTTTTTATAAAATTAATTTAACGCCTTTAGAAAAATCCTTTTTNACGCAAATTCAAAAAATTACACAGTAAAAGAAATTTATTTTATCTTTGGATTTATTTTGGAGTAATTTTTCGTAAGGCAAAAATCACGTGCTCACAATTAAAATAATAAATTAACAACTAAAGATACTAAGAGTTAGAGACACGATTAAAGAGGTCTAGAGTTATGATTTCTCCAATTGTCGGAATCCTTCCCGCTATATCTTCTATAATTTTGCCTAAGTATTCTCTACCGATCATGAGCACTCTTATTACTGTAAATCTCTCCCGAGTAATCACGACAATTTACTAGACGCACTCTTCCGAGCTACGCTAGCTGACTTTTGATACAGCTCACTTCAGATCGTACCCAAGGCTTCGTTATCCCTAATCCCGCCTTTAAACCCTTAGTTATTGATCCCTCATATACTCTGGGAGTGCTGTTGTTCAACAATTACCTAAATATGCACTCTCTCCCAAGTTATGCATACTAAATAGACACAGCTAATTGAGAGCTCTTCAATTAACTACAATAAGAACATAGTTGAACAAATAGAGATTATACTACGGCTCAATTATATAAAAACATAACAAGAATTTATCCTACAAAAGGTTCTATCAAAACTCTAGATAACAAATTAGCTATTCATAATAGTATGTAAAACTATAATACTAAAAGTCATAACCAACAATGAAAAATAGGAAGAGGAAAGAAAAAACTTGTAGAAGAATTCCCAAGCCTTGCTCCTGTTGTGTCTCTGCCTCCTTAGGTCAAATCTATGTCAAAAATATGTCCAATTCCTTTCTTGGTTGGCTTCCTTGGTTAAATATAGGGTTTAAGGCTTACAATCCCATGTTTTGCACTTTGGTCCCTGAAATTTACGCATCCTGCCGCGGTTCTACCGCGGTCGCGCCGGAACCGCGGCCAAACACCCTCTCAGATTCTTCAGTTGTCCGCAACTGCCCTCTGCCGCTGTTCTGCCGCGGTCGCGGATAAACTGTGGTTTTTCACCCTGTTACGTTTGGAATTTGGAAAACCATAAAACATAAAAGTTGTAGCGCATTGAGTATCTTTCCAACCATATATTAGCAAGCCCAAATGGAGTTCTGATATAAAAGTTATGTCTATTTTACTAAAAAGTGCACAATATGCCTCTTCGAGTTTTCGCTTTGTTGTTTTATCATCCGTTGATCCCCGAACGCGATCCAGACTTAATTTCTTGAGCTCTTACTCAGACTTCAAAGCTAAAAACTACTTAAATTTATTCTATAACATCTATATAGCTCGGAATCACACCTACAGGGCATAAAATACATAATTAGTGCAAAACACTAGCGATTAAAGCGCAAACTCAACTAAGTGCAGTAAATTAGAGTGTAATAATTGACTAAATATGTAATTATAGCCTGTTATCAACCTCCTCCTCTACTCTAAAACCCTTCAAATAAATTACAAAAATCAGTGAAAATTCATTAATAGAAGTGACAGAAGATCTTGCATGAGTATTCTCATCAATTTCTGCCATTCTTCTTCAGTTTTATTATCGCCAATGTCACAAATTCGGTTATCTTTCGCCAATTTTTTTTTGCAAAGTGTGGTTATCCCTCTAATTCCTTCTTATTTAGCAAAAATTAAATTTTTTCGTTATATTCCCATCTGAGAGAGATCCCGAATCCCTTGAAATTAGATTAGCCATCATTCGAAGCTTTTTCGGCACCAGCAAGCTCGTCGGAGATATTTATGGGATTGGGCAAACTTTTAATCCTTCTCTACCCATCAGAAAGATCCCCAGCATGGCTATTTCGACCAGCCACTATACTTTTTTCTCAATTTCACATTTGTCAGTGTCCTTATTCCGCCCGTTTTCCCTAGCGATATGTGTGTTATGAAAAACGTGTGCTCTAGATGCTAATGGTTGAAAATGGTGTTTGGTTTAGCAATAATGAAAGAGGCGACGATGATGATTTTGAATGTGGTGTTTGAGTAGAGGGAAGGAATATAGGAATTTTTTTGAGATCACAAACGTGATTAGCACACATTTTGCTACGTTAGTTATAGTGCTGCCACATAATCATGGTCAATGGTCAAAGAGGTTTAAAATTGTGCAAATGAATAAGTTGAAATGTTCAAATATGATGCATTTTTAAGTGGCTTAGATGCCATTTTGCCCCCCAAAAAGGCAAATACATAGTTTACCCATCAACCTTGCAGCGAAATCCCTATTACACACCTCTCTTTCACGGAAAATATTTTACACACTCAACATTTCAAAAGTGTGTCTAAGACACACTACTTTTATGCTTGACCAATTTTTTCAAATAACATGAAAGTCACGCCCTAATAGGGTCATGACATATGTCATTGACTTTAAAAAGGAAAACAAAATATTAGAAATTAAAATTAAAATCCATCTTCTTCATCTTTCAATTTTCTATCTTAAGCATCATTGTTGCTACCACCATTGTTGTTTGTGAGAAAGTTTCCAACAACGCCAAAATTAAACCACACTATCTAAACAACTAGCCGAAAATAATCGAGTATCAAATTGAGCTAAACAACAACAACAACGACCCAGTAAAATCCCGCTAGTGGGGTCTGGGGAGGGTAGTGTGTACGCATACCTTATCACTATCCCGAAAGAGTAGAGAGATTGTTTTCGAAAGACCCTCGGCTCAAGAAGACAAAAAGACAAAAGGGGACAATATAAGTAACATCACATAAATAATATGAAAAATAGGAACAACATGCAATCAAGAAGAACGATACAAAGCAAAAGCGAAATAGTATACCTATCAGACTAGATTCACAAACTCATGACATAAGCCAAGACTCAACTACCTCCTACCCCACAACCCTAATACTCGACCTCCATGTGTTCCTATCAAGTGCCATGTCCTTGGAAATCTGAAGCCTCGCCATATCCTGCCTAATCACCTCCCCCCAATACTTCTTAGGCCACTCTCTACCTCTTCTCGTGCTCTCCACAACCAGCCATTCACACCTCTTTACCGGAGCATCTGGGTTTCTCCTCTGAACATGCCCGAACCATCTAAGCCTCGCTTCCCGCATTTTGTCATCAATGGGATCCACGCATATATTCTCCCGAATATCATCATTCCTAATCATATCCATCATAGTATGCCCGTACATCCACCTCAACATCCGCATTTCTGCTACATTCATCTTCTGGATATGTAATTTCTTAACCGGCCAACACTCAGTCTCATACATCATGGTCAGTCTAACCACCGCTTTGTAGAACTGACCTTTGAGTATCAGTGGCACTCTCTTGTCATATAATACTCTAGATGTTAACCTCCACTTCATCCATCCTGTCCCAATACGGTGTGTGACATCCTCGTCGATCTCCCCTCCCTCATGGATAACCGACTCAAGGTACTTGAAGCTGCCACTACTTGGGATGACCTATGATTCAAGCCTCACATCCACGCCCACTCCCCTATTGATTATAGAGTTGGCAAAGATCCTTCTAAAGAGGAGGGTCAATATAGCGTGTGTCCAGGAGACCGGGTGGGCAAGGTTGAGTGCGAGAGACGCGGATGGGTATAAACTTTGTTACTCAGGAACCCAGAAGGGTAAGAATGGATTGAGTATTTTGGTGGATAGGGAACTTAGAGAGTATGTGGTTGAGGTTAGATGAGTGAATGATAAGTTGACGATTATTAAGTTGGTGGTAGGTCAGTGCACCCTAAACGTCGTTAGCGCATATGCGCCTCATACAAGCCTAGATGAGGAGGTTAAACGGCGTTTTTGGATGGGGTTAGATGAGATTGTTCATCAGGTACCACCTGTTGAGAAGTTATTTATAGGAGGAGATTTCAATGGTTATATTGGGTCGACCGCAGGTGGGTATGACGAAGTGTATGGAGGCTTCGATTTTGGGGAGAGGAATGGAGGAGGAACCTCGTTACTGGACTTTGCTAAGGCTTTTGGGTTGGTAATTGCAAACTCTAGCTTTCCAAAAAGGGAGGAGTATTTGGTTACTTTTCAGAACACGGTGGCAAAGACTTAAATTGACTATCTCCTACTCAGGAGGCGTGATAGAGGGTTGTGCAAGGATTGCAAGGTGATTCCAGGTATGATACTCATGACGTGGCATAAGCTCTTGGCGATGGACATTGGTATTATGGTGAAGAGGAGGAAAATGTCTGCTCGAGGAAGACCGAGAATCAAGTGGGGAGCCTTGACTAAGGATAAAGCCCAAGAGTTGGAGGGGCGGTTGTTCCCAATAAGCAACAAGATCCAATTGAATTTTCAAGCTTTTTTCGATACTTCAACAATGGTGGATTCTAGATTTTTTCATCAAACCTTCAATACTACTGTTAAAGCTTTTAAATATATCACAAATAAATAATTTTCACAATATTTGGATAATAAACCAATAAAATCCGCTCAATTTTAAATCTAAAATTGATATGCTCTTTCAAAAATTCTATTTGGGGAAGAAAATGAGGGGGAGGGTAGCGAGGAAGAAAACCAGAGGGAGGGGAAGGGGTTCCTGTGGGGAGGGGAGCCAAAAAAGGGATTTTTTATGGGTTTCACGCATTTTTTGCGTGTAAACAGACAAGTGCTATCTGGACAAAAGTAGTGTGTCTTAGACACACTTTTAAAAGCTTGAGTGTGTAATAGGTTTCCTATGAAACATAAGTGTGTAATAGGGATTTCGCGGCAAGGTTAACGAGTAAACTATGTATTTTGACCAAAAAAAAAAAAAAAGAAAAAAAAACTGGCTACGATGAGCTGTAAGGTTTGGCATGCGGGATGTCACTTTAGCACAAAATAAAAAATCATAGCCACCAAACAGACCAAATCCACTCCTTCTCATCTTTCCTTTCTTCTTCTTCTATAAAAATCCTCCATTTTTTCTCATTTCTTCAAAACTCAAAAAATAAAAAATAAAAAATGGTTTCACTTGAAGAATCTCAGTCTCATTCACATTCTCATAGTGTTAATAGTATTTCTAGTACTACCCATTTCGGCCAAACACGGCCTTATTACTATACTCCGCCGCCGTTATCTTCTGCCGCTAAAATCAACCGTTCAATTGGTCGGTCCATGAGAACTATCCGATCATCAACTACTTTCCAGTCAACTAATTGCTCCGGCGCTGTTTCTGAAAACTCCGGTGCTATTTCCGAGAATCTCACCGACTCCGTTATCGATATTCATCTCGGTGAGCTTTCGAGAAAGCCTCCGGCGAACAAATCGTCTACTTCCGATGAGGATTATCTAGAACTTTCTCAAGCTTTCAGTGATTTCTCAGCTTGTAGCAGTGATATCTCCGGAGAGTTACAGCGGTTAGCTAGTGTTCCAGTTTCGGATCAAGGTAACCCGAATTCTAAACCCGAACCAGAGCCGGAACCTTGTTTCGGGTTTCTAGAAAGAGAGAAGTTTTCAACGGAGATAATCGAGAGTATTTCGCCGGAGGATCTTCAACCGACGGTGAAACTCTGCGTCGACAGCTTAAATTCTCCTTCAGTCGCTGTTAAAAGATCAGCGGCAGCTAAATTAAGGCTATTAGCTAAAAACAGGGCTGATAATCGTGCTTTAATCGGCGAATCAGGTGCGATTCCAGTCCTAATTCCACTTCTCCGGTGCACCGACCCGTGGACGCAAGAACACGCAGTAACAGCACTGTTAAATCTATCACTTCACGAGCCAAACAAGACCTTGATCACTTCCTCAGGGGCAATAAAGTCATTAATCTACGTGCTTAAAACCGGGACCGACACGTCCAAACAGAATGCTGCGTGTGGGCTTTTAAGCTTAGCTTTAGTTGATGAAAATAAGCTTTCAATTGGTGCTTGCGGTGCTATTCCACCATTAGTTGGGTTGTTAATTAATGGAACAAATAGAGGGAAAAAAGATGCTTTAACAACTCTTTACAAGTTATGTTCAGTAAAATTAAATAAAGAGAGGGCTATTGTTGCAGGTGCAGTGAAGCCATTAGTAGGGCTAGTTTGTGAAAACGGGAATGGATTAGCCGAAAAGGCAATGGTTGTGTTGAGTATATTGGCTGGGATTGAAATGGGGAAAGTGGCTATTGTTGAAGAAGGGGGAATTGCTGCACTTGTTGAAGCTATTGAAGATGGTTCTGATAAAGGAAGAGAATTTGCTGTGTTGACACTATTGCAGCTTTGTGTGGATAGTGTTAGAAACAGAGGGCTTCTTGTTAGAGAAGGTGGAATTCCTCCTCTTGTTGCCTTGTCTCAGAATGGTACTGCTAAAGCTAAGCACAAGGTGAGTTTTTGAATTTTTTGATCTATCTCTAGAACTGTTTACTCAAGTTCTTGAAAAAGAAAGTAAAAATCTTGGTCAATTATTAGCACTTTGTAGCAGCATTAGTAGCACTGTATAGTTAAAGACTGAACCATAAGTTGAGCACAAGGTGAGTTTTGAGTTTTTGGTCCACCACTAGAACTGTTTACTGAAGTTCTTGAAAAAGAAAGTAAAAATCTTGGTCAATTATTAGCATTTTGTAGATTTCACCTTATCAAAAAAAATTATTAGCATTTTGTAGCAGCAGTAGTAGCAGTGTATAGTTAAAGACTGAACCATAAGTTAAGCACAAGGTGAGTTTTGAGTTTTTGATCCACCACTAGTTACTGAAGTTGTTGGAAACGAAAAGGAAAAATCTTGATCAATTATTAGCACTTGGAAGTTGTTGTAGTAGTGGTTAGTTAAAGACTCAATTTTTATGGAATTAGTAATATTAAAGAACCAATAGTTCTTTCAAATTATTGACATTTATCAGTAGGAGGACTTATTATAGCAATTTGTTTGAATGTTGCTAAGAATTTGGATGAGTAGAGCTTTTAACTTAAACTAATTTGTGCCAGTAGTTAACTAAGGGCTTAAATTTGGAATAAAGATTAAATTTTTAGTGGTTTCCATGACAAATTTGAATTTATATAATCATAAACAAATGGTGTGGAGTGTTTTTTCAGTACTTGGATGTTTGAGATTTGGAAGATGGGTATGGGAGAAAATGGAAAGAGATGAAGAAAGCACGAGAGTGAAGTTTTGGAGATTACAGTTGTATGGTGTGGGTTGCTATCCTTTCAAATGAGCATTTTGTGTACTTTATTTTGGTGATGTTATCATTTGAACCTTCTGGTACTTGTTGCAGTAACGTATAGAACAAATACTGCTGCTGTGTTGCTTTCAGTGAGACTGATGTTTTAGCCTGCATATGCATTTTTAGTACAAGAGATGCAAGCTGTATTACTTTGATCCTACTCTTGTTATGGAAAGAATTTAATGGCGTTTGGTCATTTTCTTTTTTCTGCAGGCAGAAACTCTATTGGGATACTTGAGAGAACCAAGACAAGAAGCTTCAAGTTCAACTCCTTGAGAGTAATAGTAGTTTTAGACTAGTATTTCTACTGTAGTGGTTTTGTTCTGTATATAGGAAGAAGTGGTTTGAAGAGTTTGTATAGAGTGTTTTAGAAATTTGGGAGTAATGGATGATCTCAGATAATATAAAAAACTAAAAAATAAATATTATTAGAAGCTAGTGAAGAAACTCTGACCTTATTTTTGACTAGGTTTTTAGAGGAAGGGTTCTCATGTCCCTCTTGAATTATTAACTGGTGCTGGTTTTTTGGGAGGGGGATGGAGTTTACCTGGTTTTGGGTTTTTTTCTCTTTGGTTTGGTGAGAATTTGGGTTATTATCCTCTAATTTTGTTTGTGAGGTCCAAGTTCTTGTAGAAGGGTTACTAATTTTCTTGATTTTTAGTGTGTGAAAATCAACTACTAGCATAGTAGGCTAGAGGTTGTTTTTTCCTTTTTTTGAACATGAATATATGCTAGTGTATGAAGCAAAACATATTTGGCCATTTATGTGATATTTTCATGATTTATGAACATCAAAATTTCCAAGCTTAGATGATCACACAAGAGTTTGTGGTTCTCTATGAACTAGAGAGAATCAGATGCCTGTGTTCCCCACTTGGTTTTAATAGTTGTTGTACAGAAACCCCACTTTCCCCACTGGCCTTTCAATCATTTTATTGAAATATGTCTTTAGTTTTCTCTACACCCTCTATTTCTCTACAATACAAGAGGGTGTTGTGTGATGGAATTAATTTGTTCACCCTTGACAGAGGTCTACCGAAAACGGTCTCTCTGTCTTAGAAAGGATAAGGCTAAGGTTGCGAATATCCTATTTTTCCTAAATCCCATTTATGAGAATACCTGAGATAGATGTTGTTGTTGTTGTACCTTTAATAGAGGTCTTGAGTTTAAGTCTCGGAATAAAACACGGAAGGGAGAAGTTCTTGATAGGGAGTGTTTTTACCTTTTAATAGATCTTACACAACGCGAATTCATATTTAGTCGGGCTAATGAATGATATAGGGGTGGACATCGATCGGTTCGGTTCGGTTTTGAACATTATCGGTTTTGCCTATCGGTTATCGGTTTACAAATATCATAACCCGATAATCAAACCGATAAGATATTGGTTATCAGTTATCGGTTATATATCATTATCGGTTCGGTTATCGATTTACCCGATAAGATAAAACAACTAAAAAATTTTGCAATATATAAAACAAAGAAATCAAACTGCCAGAACGTGTAAACTGTCAACTTTTGTTGTTTCTTAACAAAAGCACGCTCTTACTTCTGTGCAGTATCTACTGATGTCTGGCGGAGAACTGGTGGTGAGTCTTGCGCCTTGACTCTTGGGGGTTGCGACGGAAACAAGAATGAGAACTGAGAGACAAACGACTGAAGAGTGAAGAGGGAATTAGGAAAATAAATAACCCTAGTATATACTTAAGGGTAAATTAGTAAATTATATCATTTTTGTTGGGTTATCGGTTTTTACCCAATAACAAAAATGCAAACCGAGCCCGAACCGAAAACCCAATAATTTTTTTTTTAACCCATTACCGAACCGTTAACCCAATAACCCAATACTGATAACCCAATAAAGAATTAACGGTTCGGATTATCGGTTTTACCCGATATATGCCCACCCTAGAATGATACAAATTTAAATTAGTCAAGTTTTTGAATAGGGAATGATTATTAAAAAAAGGTTTTCTAAGATCATCTTTGTCTATTTCCTATATTACCTAGTGAATTATAGCTGGCAAGGTTGCTTAGGATTTGGTCAATTTAAAGGTGGGTTCATATGAGTTGGTTAGCCAACCATTTTGGTCCTCCAACCTTTGACCACTTTTCATACATTTATTGGATGCTCCAAAACTTAATCTTAACTCTATTTTTTCCCTTCATGTGGTTTGTCGTCCTCCCTTGTAATTCCTCCTTTTCAATTATTTTTTCTTTTCAAGTTTTGGCATGCTCTGATTTAAAATTGTAGCAAACAAGTTTTTAAAATGTTTGAACCACTTTTTTTAATGCTACCTTCTCACATAAGGTGTACAAATGTGGTATTCAAATTAGAGGTGGCAAACGGGGAGGTCGAGTCGAATATGAACGGGTTGAAAACGGGTAGTTTAAAAACGGGTAAATTATTCGATCCGACTCATAGTTAAAAAACGGGTTATATCCATATTATCCATGGCTTCTTAAATATGATTATTTTTAGGAGAATTCCTAATCTCTCAAACTTGAGAAACCCCCAATTTGAGTTTTTACAAATGTAAAAGTTAACCCATTAGTTATCCATTTGGTCATCCATTTTCTAAGTGGATAATATGGTTCTTATTCATATTCGACCCGTTATTTAAAAGTTCATTATCCAACCCATTTTTTAACGGATAATATGGATGGATAACTGTTTTTTTAACCATTTTGTCACGTTTAATTCAAATCATTAATCACTTCCAAGTATTACGATGATGCTACATGTTGAATTCTCGTATTTTTCCATATCCTTTTCTAAGCACCATCCCCTTTGGCAATTGTGCGCTAAGTTTAACATCCTATTAAGGACTAGGCGTTCAAGGCTGGATTTATAGGGTACATGAACTCATAGTTTCTCCGCTAATATCGATATAAAGATACATATTTTAAATTCATTAGTTTTGTGTAAATATCAAGTGCGAATAGATTTTGCCCTCATTGTTCTATAAGGTGCATTTGAACCATTGAACCTGATACCAGCTGGTTCAAATGAAACAGAAGTATATGCAAAATTAATTGATTGACCTAGTCTTTTCTTTTTGGACGGTAAATTATATACTTAAAAATAGTTCTGTCTCCTTGTTGGGGACTACTGAGGTAGTTACAATGCTTTTATTGCTACTGTAGAATGAAATTGCCTAGAGTAGGCAAAACTTCTTTGATTTATGAAAATGTTGTAGTGTCAAAGGGAGTAAGTATAATATAGAAATTAAGCCTTCCTAATTGAGAGATTTTATCCTCATAGGTTTGGTGGTCACAAACAACAACAACAACGACCCAGTATAATCCCACAAGTGGGGTCTGGGGAGGGTAATATGTACGCAGACCTTACCCCTACCCTGAAGGGTAGAGAGGCTGTTTCCAGGAGACCAACATGAGCCGATATATTAGTACCATAAAAATGCATAATAAAATACCAGCAATATAAGAGATATGAAATACAGAATACGAAATACGAAATAGATGGTTGGTATAGTACAACTAGCAGGTAAAGCCCTGCATCAATAGACGACCAATGACATTCTTAGTCTAACTCCTAACTGGCTAGTCTTACTCTATTGTGTTGTAGAAATATTCACAAGTTTCCCCTAACCTACAACCTTAATGTTCGACCTCCATAATTCCCTATCAAGGGCCATGTCCTCGGTAATCCTAAGTCGCGCCATGTCATGTCTGATCACCTCTCCCCAATACTTCTTAGGTCGCCCTCTACCTCTCCGCGTGCCCACTACAGCCAGTCGCTCACACCTCCTCACCGGTGCATCAGTGCTCCTCCTCTGAATGTGCCCGAACCATCTGAGTCTTACTTCCCGCATCTTGTCCTCCATGGGGGCCACGCCCACCTTCTCTCGAATATCTTCATTCCTAATCTTATCCATCCTTGTATGCCCGCACATTCACCTCAACATCCTCATCTCTGCTACTTTCATCTTCTGGATGTGTGAGTTCTTTACCGGCCAACATTCAGTTCCATATAACATGGCAGGCCTAACCACTGCTCTATAAAACTTACCTTTTAGTAACGGTGGCACTTTCTTGTCACACAAGACTCCCGACGCTAACCTCCACTTCATCCACCCCACCCCTATACGGTGTGCGACATCATCGTCAATCTCCCCGATGCCCTGAATAACTGATCCAAGGTACTTGAAACTACCACTCTTGGGAATGAATTGAGAGTCAAGCCTCACTTCAACTCCCGCTTCCATCGGCTCAACTCCAAATTTGCACTCGAGGTAGTCACAGTTGCTATTAATTTGCTCTTTACTTCCATTGCCATTGAGTTATGGGAAGGGCTAAGATGGAAAATGAAAAGATGAAGGAAGTTGAAGCATGGAATGGTCCTTGTAATTTATATTGCTCGGATCCTCGCTCATTCTTCAACCGTAGAGAGACTTTTGAATTGCGAGGTACCATTACGAGCTCAGATATGTCTTTAATAAGTCCTCCACCTATTCTCGTGTGACGATATCTATGATTGTGAAATTCAGGAATGAACAGTTGCAACAATGATGTTCAATTTCTTTTGACAGTTTTAGATTGTGGTGCTTTGTAATCCTCCAAAGACGCGACACTCGTGTTTAAGTTTCATATCCAAGATTTTAATTTACTAAATTCAATTTTTGAATTTTTTAATATTGAATTCACTATACTTTTAAAATCATGTTTATGTACTTTCTTATTCTTGGTTCTTTATTATATATATTGTGTCATTCGCTTCTATTATCCTATTATCTTGTTGTTGTTATTATTTTTTGCTTTATTTTTACTATTTCTTGAGCCGAAAGTCTACTAGAAATATCCTCTCTACTAGGGGTGTACAAACCAAACAGGAAAACCGTACCAAATCGAAAAGTCAAAACAAACCGATTAAAAAATCCGATTAGGTTTGGTATTGAGTAAAAGAACCCAAACCAAATCGACATATAAATATATAATTTTTACATATTCTTTTAAGATTTTATTTAGAATTTTCTTTAAAAAATGTCTAAAAATATTTGGGATTCTCTTGCCGGATATAATATTTAATAGTATATGAAGTGCTCCATATTTATTAACCTTAAATAATGGGTTGTATGATCACTTTCTCATCAAGTGTTACTCAAATGCGTCAATTTCTTTATTCTTCAATATTTATATCATTGTTAAGATCTATTATATTGTTATATCTTTTTCGAATGTGAAGTGCTTATTATTACTAGATATCATATTAATTTTTATGTTTAATTGTTAAATTCGGTTAACATTGAAAGTGTAAATCAATAAAATTATTGTCCGACAACTAAAAAAATAACTATTATGTGTTACTAAGAAAATTCTCATAAGAATATTTTAATAGATAATATGTTTGTCCTTTTTTTTTTACTAAACATATATTTACTTATCAAAAATTTAATAAAATAAGATTGAAATAATATTTAAGTAACAAAAACCCGAGAAATCCGACAAATTCAAATCAATCCAAACCGATATAGTTGGTTTGGTTTGGTTTTGATAAAAATCGAACCAACCCGGTCCATGTACACTACCTTCCCAGACCCCACTTTTGAAATTATACTGGGTTTTATTGTTGTTATTGTTGTATACTTTTAAAATGGCAGCTACCAACCTCACGACAGATTATCCTTTGTTTGGTAAAAAAATTGTAGCCATTGTCCCTTTTATGAATCGCATTAGCTGGCACAACAGCTTGTTATTTGTCTTGATGTTTCCCTCTATATATCTTTCAATTTTTTCTATCATTTATTTGAAAATAAAACATAACCTATTTAATCTTCTTGTAAATTTTGGTGTTATTGTCTAATCTAGTAGAGTGTCGATTAAGTGAGCGTTTGGACATAAGAATTGTGAAACTCCGGAAAAAATGAAGAAAAAAAATTCAAGTAAAAATGGTCTTTGAAAATTAGAGTTATATTTGAATATGAATATAATTTGGAGTTGTTTTTGAATTTTGTGAATGATTTGAAGAGAAAATTTTAAAAAATAGCCTTTTGGAGTTTTTTGAATTTTTGAAAAATTTCGAAATTCAACTATAAGTGAAATTTGAAGTTTTCATGGACAAACACTAATTCTGAAAAAAAAAATATATTTTTTAAAAAAAGTAATTTTTTAATGACCAAACGGGCTCTAAGTAAAACTGCTTGTTCTTTGCATAGAGTTGTGCATAGTTGATCACTGATTCAGTGTTACATTTTGATAAAATATTGTTCTATGATTCCTAGCTTCGCTACTGATAAGATATATATTTTAAACGGAAAAGGGCTAAAACTGCCCCTGAACTATTGGAGTTGGTACAGTAATACCCTCCGTCCACCTATTTTGCAAAAATTACCCTCACCGTTATCTTTTCAGCTCAAAACTGCCCTTACGACTAACAACCCTGTTAGATAAAAAAAAAACTTAATTAATTTTCACGTGTCACCGTCCAATTGGCTTAACTTAAAACTCACCTAAATTAAAATAAACCACCCACATTCTAAGACCCATAAACAAAAATACTTTTTCCTAGTCTATCCTTCTTACTCTCCCTGTTCCGTTTCTTTCTCCTCTTTCTTTTCAAAAATATTCTAGCATCTAGAACTATCATACACCCATTTTTTTTCCTAAGCAAACAAAACTCTCTCTTATAGTTAATCGCCTTCTTCTTCATATTTCTTTCTCTATTAAATGTACACATCAATACTCCTATTTTTTTCCATCATAGAAATACCATTCATATCAATTTTTCTTACTACACTTTACTGCTTCATACAATTAGTTCAATCAAGTATTTATTACAGTCACATTCTCCAATAAGTCGTATTCTCTCATATTCTCAAGCATAGGATCCAAATATTCTTCTTGATTTAACTGTCCATTTTCTAAAATTAGCGGTGTTGATATAACTTGAAGAGCATCCTCGTATAATAGCTTAATTTATGGACATGATCGGATGTTCAGACTATGGTGAGGTAATGTAGAAGAAAAAAGTCGAGGTTCGAGCAGAGACCAAATAAAACTCTGGTATAATCGAAATTGGATGCAGAGTTGTCAGGAAATATATTACGAAAAATATTGCAAATGTTCAACTATTACCATTGACACTCTGCTAGTGTTCATATATTCGAGTGAAAGTTGTATGACGTAAAGTATTGGTGACTAAAAATTTTGGTTGTTTAAAAATAAAACTTTAATGGTGTTTGTAGTGATTATTCAAATAGAGTACAAGGTCAAAAAAGGATGAGAAGAAGAAGAAGAAGAAGAAGAAGAATATGAACGCACACCGTTTTTTTAATTTTAATTTATGTGAGTTTTAAGTTAGGCCAATGGGACGATGACACGTGAAAATTAATTAAATTTTTTCTACCTAACAGGGATGTTAGTCGTAAGGGCAGTTTTGAGTCGAAAAGATAACGGTGAAGGTAATTTTTGCAAAATAGATGGAAAGAGGATATTATTGTATCAACTCCAATAGTCTAGAGGCAGTTTTGACCTATCTGTGAGATTTATTCATGTGGTCAAGCATATATTTTGAAGGCAGATGGAATTATTAGATAACATGAAATAATCTAAGTTAATCAAGCTTTAAATTATTTGATGGCTTTTCAATGCTTTAATTTATTGTATAAGTACTTGTTCAACTTTAATTGGATTAGCTAAGACTTTTGTTTATCAAGCTTAATGTCAAAACTAATACTTGTTCTGTATTTTAATTAAAACTATTATTGTTTGAGAGTAAATAATTTTCCATTTGTTACATATTCTTTTCTAAAACTTTCATTTTATTACATTGAGACTAAATTTCTCAAAAGGAAAATCAAGGAATTTATATACATTTGCACATCAAATATTAGATGATCCAAAACTCATTCTTTTTGGATTAAGAGGGTAAGGCTTACAAATCAGGCCCAAAAAGAAACCCGGCCCAACAAACTTTTGGCCCACCTAAATTGTCTCTCAAGACCAACAACAACAACAACAACAACAACAACCCAGTATAATCCCACTTAGTGGGATCTGGGGAGGGTAGTGTGTACGCAGACTTTACTCCTACCCTGAGGTAGAGAGGCTGTTTCCAAATAGACCCCCGGCATCCTTCCCTCCAAGAACTTCCCACCTTGCTCTTGGGGAGACTCGAACTCACAACCTCTTGGTTGGAAGTGGAGGTTGCTTACCATCAGAGCAACCCTCTTGTCTCTCAAGACCGATTTACACAAATGTTCCTTCCTTTTAAAGGCAATTGTTTAGATTTTGTTTTAAAAAGTTTTACAAATATAGCCTTTAAAAGTTACCTTTTGGACGTTAGACTCAGTCACTGAGATATAATGTTCGCTCATTTAATTTTCAATTTGCTCATAAAACATTAGATTATGATCTAATATTTGCAATAACTTAAAAAAATTTAGAATGTGATCCTACGTTTTCTTATAAGATTTTCAGTTTGCTCAAAAAGGATCTTTAGACCGACATCTAAAAGGCCCATCAATTGCAAGAGAAATAAAAGGTAAAAATAGCACGGTATAGTCAGTTTTCGGACTGGTCATTCAAAAATAGTCAGCGTTTACCAAGTCAATGAAAAATAACCACTATTTTGCTGAACTGGTATACTTTGCTGGCTCCAGTATAATATACCGAAGATTGAAGCACTGGTGCTCCAAACTCCGGTATATTATGATGGACCAGTATACTTGCTGGAACTCTAGTATAATATGCTGGAGTTCAAGTATACTTATACTGGAACTCCAACATAATATATTGGCGTATTTTTCGGGTTTTGAACAGTGTTTTCGCTCAGATTTATCGTTACATGAAAAGTGGCTAAATTTCGATTACTTTTGAAACTGGGCTATATTTGAACAAGCAATTGTAAATCTGGCTATTTTTGAATCTCCCAAATAAAGAGGTCATGCACTAAACAACAACTATAAAAGAAAGGCAGAAATGACACCAGGCTGTCATTCTAAAGGGCTACTATTTAAAAATTAGTCGGTGCGTCCTGAATTTCAGTTTTCCGACACAAAGTCCTGAAGCTAAGATTTTTAGTTCAAATTAAAAAAAAAATAACTACCGACTAATCCCTAAATAGCAACTTTAAAAATGGCTATTTTGTACTTTCCCCTATAAAAAGGGACAACCGGCAAGAACATAAAAGATTAGGAAAATTCAGATGATAAAACAAAATGACACTTTGCCTGTGAAATGTGAATTTTCACGAGTGGAATCTGAGAAGCGTAGAGTGTACGCAACCACCTAAGTACTCGCAATAAATAGTAACAACAACAAGATATTAAGGAAGCGAAATAAAGATATCTAGAGCATATAAAACAAAATGTACTTTGGCATTTGAAATGTCTAATTGAAAAACCAAAATGTTCTACTCTCTGATCATCTACACTATAAAACAGTAACTTGAACAATCAGAGATCTTCACTTGCATATTGTAGTAGAGCTTATTTTTCGCCATAATCTATAAATATGGGACTAATTACCAGCAAAAAATGTCACACTGAATTGAACTTTAGCTTGCATCTGCTGTCTTTTCGCTCGTTTTCTTGCGAAATAACTTTGGTTTATAGCCTTTCTCAAGCATCTTCTCAACTTCCTCGAATTGCAGACCTTTCGTTTCGGGTACCAGAAAGAAAATAGCGACTAAGCCAATTGCAGAGAATCCAGCAAACAAAAGGAATGTACCAGCAGAACCAATTGCCTCCGTTAAAGTCAAGAACGACTCGCTCACTATAAGGTTAGATACCCAATTAGAAACGGCCGCTATACCACCACCAATACCTCTGTATCGTAAGGGGTATATCTCAGAGTTGACGATCCAAGGCGCTGTTCCCATTCCTGGAGAGTAGGATATGATGTACAATCCGAGAAGCAACACTGCAAAGAATCCGAATTTACTAGGACAACCTTTTGTGTACCATGCACGCTTTTCTGATCGGCATAAACCTCTAACGTCATCATTTAGAGCCAAGCATGCACCAGGATGATACTGAATCAAAGAAAATTATTGTCAATGCCAATACTAAATACGCGAAAAAAGAGAACAAAAAGCGAAACATGACAATTTAATGCAATTAGGAGGAAACCAAAACGCACAATTGCGTACACAAGATTTAGTGTAAGCAGTGTCGGTCTACTGTTACAATTTGAGTTGTAGGCCGGTTTGAGTTTGGGATTGTCGGGTTCTAAACCTTTACTTCATGTCTTAAATTGACATTTACTGTATAATTTGGCGTATTGTATATATGAACATACTGTTAGTTAGAAAAATATTATAACACCCTATATGAAATAGTAAAATTTTCCGGCAAAGCAATGTCGGATGACACCTCAGGGTATAAGGTTTCTCCGTTAGTAAAAAAGCATACTGCCGTACTGATTTGGATAAACATAACAAGGATTTGACAATAATACCAAAGGGAATTAGTTAATAAATGCGTCAGTCAGGACGTAAAACCAACAAAACTTACTTTGTTGTTTCCATTAGAGCAGAAAGCACAATCTGAGGAAGACTGCAAGCAACTCATACAGTTCCAGGACAATGCATCGGGAGCTTTTAGAAATGCCGAGCATGTGGAATTTGATCCAAAGTGATTGGATTCAAAGGCACTAATCGGTGGGGCATGTGAAGAAGCTTGCATGAAGAGCACAGACAATACCACTAGGCATGCTATGATACCAAACATGGAGACAATCATCAACCTCCTCCTCCCGAATCTGTCGACAAAACACATACTCACAATGGAACCGACAGCATTGAGACCAGATGTTATGAGCGAGAGTGCTAAAGCTGTCTTGTTAGAAGCAAATCCAGCCAGTTGTACAATCGTCGGACTGTAATACATGACCGTGTTTATTCCGACAAATTGTTGTGCCACTTGGACTGTAATACCGGCATAGAGACCACGACGAACAACAGTGTTGCTAAAAGCACTCTTGACTTTTGAGAAAATACCAGCGCCAAGGAATTGAGTATCAGCCTTCTCTGCTTCAATGGAAATCTCCAAAGCTTTCATCTCATCTTCAACTTCATGAGCCGGATATATCTTCTCTAATATAGCCCTCGCTTCGTCCTTTTTGTTCTGCACAAAACGTCAAAGGTCATGGAAAATGAATTATGGCAATGAGATGAAAAATTCTTCAAATTTTCTGCTAAAAAGAGAAAATTAAACAGGCAATCAGCCTACCTCTCTATACAACCAACGAGGTGACTCGGGGAGGGATAGCATTAGGAAAAATTGAATCAAAGCAGGAACTCCAGCTACCCCGAGCATCCATCGCCAAGTTCCTTTGGTCTAAAAGTATTCACAGAAATCAGTTAAAGTTCCAAATGATATAAACAATTCCAATAGGATAAAAAACAGCAAAAAAGATTCAACATGTATTACCCTGGTAAATGCTAAGTTGATAAGATAAGATAAAAACTGTCCACCCGTAATTAGCAGACCATTCGTGCTAACTAAAGCTCCTCTAATCCGAGCTGGGGAAGCTTCTGAGATATAAAGTGGAGATGTCATGGAAGCCATTCCAACTCCTAAACCGACGAGTACTCTTCCGATAATTATCACCCACGGTGCTGGAGCAACTGCCATAACGATTGCACCAACAAAGAACAAGATATCTGCTAAAAGAATTGATTTTCTCCGACCGTACTTGTCATTAAACCAACCACCAAATCCTGCCCCAAAAATTGCTCCTGCAACCGCCATGCTAACTATGGTTTCCTACATTGTTTTGAAAAAAAAAACATATTATTCTGTTTTCACAATATAATCAAACTGAATTGATATATAAAGCAGAGTAAATCACTTACTTGCAACCAAGTATGCTTATCAACGGCTTTGAAATCATCCCGAATATAAAGCAATGCACCAGAAATCACACCTTGTTTGCAAGAAAATCACATACAACCAAAATTTGAAATTAATAAGCGACAAAGAAACTTCATTAATACTGAACTTAACAATAATTTACATCTTATCGCTCCAACTTATTGACAAAGGTTTTATCGGCAACAAAGTATCAAAAGTTGGTATTAAAAGAAGTTGTTGTTTACCGGTATCATAACCAAACAGCAACCCTCCAATGCCAGCAGAAAAGGCGAGACGCATGATGTAAGGTGTTTTCCATGACGTCCTCCAACATTCTGTAAACTCCGTCTTATCCGCTTTGTGAGGACCGCCTTCCATAGTATACCGGTATCAATCTAGTTTTCTGCTATGCTTAAAAAGAATTCACAAGAGAAATTTTCACAGCAAATTACCTGCCATCAACAAACGACTCGCCTTTTAAAGCTAAATCACATTCATTATCCAATACAATTTTCATCCAAGTTGCTGGAGGATCAAATACATTCATTAATACAAATTGCAAAAAAGTAGCACTAGGACTAAAAAAGAAAGATTCTTGATCTGTTAATTAATATTAATTTCTGAAAGATGCATTGATTCTGGAATAAAAAGGGAACAACTTTAGCACAAAAAATTTAACCAATTTGTACAATGGATATACTGATTGAGACATTTCATATGCCAAATTATCTAAACAAGGCAAAAACAAAAGGCAAATACCAGTTCTATATATACAGAAACATAAATTGTCACTGTTTTCTTATTTATAAACAAAAAAACCATTGATTCTATTGCCAACTCATGAATTCAGTATCCACTTATCTAGACTTAATTCTTTGGTCTAACACATCAAAAAAAAAAATTGTTTTTTTGGTTTCTCATCAGGTGTCCTATGTCCGATGTCCGGTACCCGCATTGGAGCCCAACTATATCCGGATTCGCGCCGCCTAGGGCCCCATTCGAGAGAAGCACTCCCTACCAAGGATTTTTCCATACCCGGGCTCAAACTCGAGACCTCTAATTATATGATTAAGGGAAGAGGAGCCCCATCCATCCGCTGCACCATATCCTTTCATGGTGAATACATAAAAAATTAATCCCATACAGAAACATAAATATTTTATATAGATTGATTATTCATACCATTAATATTAATATCTTGAGAATAAACAAGAATGCCAATGAAAAAAATCAGATCAAAGAAAATAAATTATACCATCATGCATCAACAAAAAAAAGTGGAAAACTTAAGAATAAAATTTATAAGATTAAAAAAAAAACAATGACAATTAAGATTGAGAATTAAAACAAGAAAAAAAACAGTGTATAATTTTCATGCAAAACCAAACTTGAAAAACAAAAGAAAACAGAAAATTTAGTACCTAAGTGAAACTGTCAAACTCTGTCACTTATTTTTTCAAACTTCAGTAGTTTTTTTTCTCAAAGAGTCCAAACCCCACGCCCTGTTNATATATATATAGTAACCGAAGTCAAAAAGGGAAGAGTATAAAAGAGAGATTTTGAGTCAAATCTGTTGAGGATTTTATGATATGTTTATCCTTTAGTTTAAATCCTTGTAGGATTGTGATTTCAATTATGGTAGTATTAAATTAACTTTAATTTTTTTTCCTTTAAGACTATAATAATTTCAAATTTCAAATGTACTAGTAATTAATTAATGTGGAATTAGATAAAAATAAAAATTGCAAGAAGTTACTAGATAAATTACAATTAGTCAATCCTTATCCTATAGAGATTAGAAAATAATACGTTTTATAGCTCTTTCTTAATAAGGTACAAAATGCCAATCAAAATTAAGTATTATAACTAGTGAAGCGATCGTAAGAGACCTAAATAATTTTTTTTGAATATTTGAATTTTAGAAATGTACATTAATCATCAAATCGAAGTATATTAGATTTGAACTTTTTAATTGAAGTATACTCCCTCCGGTCCAAAATAAGTGATTTTTTGACGTTTTTTTTTTGTGGTCTAAAATAAGTGATTTTTCCAGATTTCAAGAATATATTAATTATTTTTTTCCTACATTATCCTTGGAGTAACTAGTGTTGGAATATGTGTTAGGAGTGTTTATGTGAGATAGTAAAGGTTAATATGATCAATTCCATTGCTAGTTAATGCTAAAAGATGAATTTCTTAATCTGTGTGAAAACATCCAAAAAATCACTTATTTTGGACCGGAGGGAGTATTAGATACATATTTTTTTATGAACTAGTACCTATAAATGTGCGTTGCACGTTAATAATGACACATGATGGTTTAAATATTTATTTATATGAAGGAATAATACATTTAATTAATGAGAGAAATTTTATATATAATACTATAACAATTATCTAAATGCCGAAAAATATTGTTACATTAGCATAATACGTGAATTCAAAATGAAAGGATTTCATCAAAACTTACATAAATGATTAATTTTAGTCATATTAAGTAGATAATTATGTATCGTAGTTTAAAGATATCTAATGCGATGATTCTTATCGAATACTTTTTTATAGATGGTGTTTTTTGTATATGTTTCCTTCTAATGTTTTGGTTACTCTGCCATAACCAAAACTCGTGTTGTCGATATTGATATCTCTCTAGAAAGTGCAACATATAGTTATTCGTGTAAGAAAATATATTGTGGTAAATATAGTTCAATATCTAGGATGTTTGTCCTTGTACTTTATTTATTATAGCTACAAAATATAAACATATTGAAAATTATTTTCACAAAAATTGAAAAGTATATTCTTTAGTTTTGGAAAATGAAAGTTGAATTCGGGGATAAATACATACTTAGAAGCATATTGACCAGTATCATAAGTTCTGCATGCATGACATTATTATCAAAACTTCTATATACCATATGTGTACTATTACATAAGCTATTCAGCGGATCTAAGTTTTCAATAGCATGACAGATATATTTTTCTTCAAAATCAACCAATATGCAATGAAAGATCAATTTTAACTTAGTCTATTATATATATGGTGACACTAATAGACGTAATAAATAATGAACTTGACAATAAACATATATGGTAGAAGGCCATTTGGTATTAAAATATTTAAGTATTCTTCTTAGTAGTTATGTTGGTATCATCTTCTGCTGAGTCAAAACTGAAAATTATTTTATTTTTACTATAAAAATTAACAATCAACCTTTTATTTAGTTGATCAATATATTCATTTCTGCTAGCTAAGATAGCTATATTTCTATCATGTGGTTTGAACAATTTGCGTTTTGATCTATGATGAATATATATATTTTTCTTATTAAATGCATTATTATCACCATTGAGGTTATAACAAAGTATTCTAGAAGAACCAAATCATCTTTTATTGGATGTTATTCTTCGTTTCCGACACGAAGCAAGAAGTCATTGAATGTTGTATCTGTTCTTACTTTTATATTTCTTGTCATTTGAATATTTTTCAGTTGAGGTCATAAGTATAATTTTGGCAAGCTAGCTTTTACAGTTTATGCTTTGGCCAATTTTGGAACTACTGATCGTACTTGATAGAATCACCTCCTAAACTATTACTTTTCCACCAAACGGTTCATCGATATTCAATATATCTCTAAAACTCTAGGAAATTGTTTCGATCATTTGACGCTTAGCCAAAAACGCTTTCATCCCATATTATCACTTTTGCTTTTCTTATAAATTTAGCATTATTGCTCTACTTTGATATATTTGTGATGGTTATTTCAGCTATTTGAAAAGGTATATCAAATCTAAAGTTAGCTGTACGACCTCATAATAAAATTGTTGATGGTACACCACTTGTTCTTATTGCTAATAATATCATGTCTCTTCATTTGCAAGTAATACATGATATAGGAATATTATTTCGATTTTGCCGAAGGCATCTACAAAGGATAATCCCGCTATAGCAGGTCAATTTTTATAATATATTCTTGAAAGCTTATTCTTGTTTAGGATTTAGCTTTAATTGTACTTCCTCAAACACTTGTATGGCCTTCTTAATATTATACTAATATTTTTTACTTTGTGATCTATTTTTTTTAAATCTCTAGCACTTTTTATAGAATAAATTTATGTACCCTACGATTATTTTTTAACTTGATTTTTTTTCACTCATATGACAAATTTAAAAAAATAATTTAATTGGATTCTCTTGCTAAATAATTAATTGAAAGATATGATTATTTGCTTTTAACATAAAATATAATTTATTTTCTGTTGATTTAGATTCTTAATATTAGTTCATCTCATGTCTGAATATTTAACTGTGATTATAATTTTGTTCATCATAAATTTTATTTTCAAAGAGTAAGAAAATCGATGACATTCCACTTTTAGATCTTTGTGCTAGCAAAATCATTAGTAGTATTAGCTCTTACCAACCTTTTTCTTTATTTTCTCATATATTTATATTCTTAAAAAAATTTCTTAGTTGTTCTTTAATAATTGGGTATATTTTTCTACATTACACGAAAAATTAATTAAGAAATATAATTTAGTAGGAATAATATATTATCGTGGGAAAGTTTTTATCAATTTCAACGATTTATGCCGTCCATTTAGAATTACTTTTTTTTTTGTGTTGAATATTATAGAGTGGTAATGTATTACTAATATGGAGGATTCTTATGAAATTGATTTTATTAAACCTTCCTACATATTTTTAATAAGAATTCAGTAGACAAGATTGTATTAATTTTAAAATCTTAAATAATAAAAATATTAACACAGAAGTTATAGTAGTCCAAAAAAATAAGTTACTACAACTATGTCATTTCCCTATGAGCTCTTCTATTTAATATTTTAGAGTTGTTTTGGTCTATCAATATTATATTCGTGCTTTTATAATGATGTCGGCTCTCCTATTTTTAAACGGTTTCGGACAATATAATACGTTTTCAAATTAAATTAATAATAAATTTTTTTTAAGAAGTATATCCTTAAAGTAACAGGATTAAAATAATTATATTAATAGGATTCCTAAAAGTACATAGGATTCCTAACGTATATTATTATGTCCTAAAGCTAATAGGATTACAAGGTTAATGTCTAGAATTTCGATTATGTCCTTTTATTATGAATTATTATGCTTAATATTAAAAGGTTATTTTTGTAATCCAACATTTTATTCATATTTTTATAATAATATAGATAGATATGTATTTATACACGTATTGCTTAGGCATTAATCAAGTAAGAAACTATTAGACGTCTCAGAGAGCGACTCTCAATAAAAATGTTGAGATTATTTTGAGAAAAATAAATTGATTTAATCCGTCTTTACTAAAGGAAAAAAATAATAATTTACAAAGTTAATAATTGTTCACAACACAAAAGCCAAAACTAAAAAACTACTTATGAGATAAGGATTGAGAACAAATTTAATGCATTTGGTAGTAGGAAACTGTTTGTGGTGATGCCAAAAAAAGACTTTAGGACTCGTTTGGTACGAGGGATAATTAATTCCGGAATTAAATTTGAGATGAATTTATCTCATATTTGATTGTGCTAAAATTGTGGCATAATTAATTTCGGAATTAGTTATCCCGGGATTGTAGTGTTTTTTAGTCCCTAAGGAGGAGGGTATAATTAATCCCACAATAACTAATCTTGAAATAGTTAATCATAGGATAACGTGATTCCCAACCAAATAGCCCCTTATAGTATTGATTAATATAGGATTTTGGTTGATTGATTTGACTTTGAATGTAGAGAATGTCCTCTTAATTGGGTTTTAGGTGGCCGAATTTGAAATTCAAAAATAGCCCCTTTTTCAAGTGGCAATTGAAAAATAGTCACAGTTTCAAAAGTAATTGAAATTTAGCCGTTTTTCATGTAAAGATAAATATGAACAAAAATACTGTTTAAAATCCGGAAAATATTCTAGCACAATATACTGGAGTTCTGACATAATATACTGGACTTCCAGCATAATATATTGGAGTTCCAACATAATATACTGGTCTTGCATAATATGTTGGAAGTTCATTCACAGGTGCTCCAATCTCCAGTATATTATGCTGGAACTTTCCGTGTGTTGGAGTTCTAACATAATATGTTGGAAGTTCATACACAGGTGCACCAATAACCAGTATATTATGCTGAATCTTTTCGTGTTGCAGCAAAATAGTAACTATTTTTCATTGACTTTGCAAACGCTGACTATTTTTTAATTACCAATCCAAAAACTGGCTAACCCGTACTATTTTCACTCGAATTTAAATTAGTCGGGTTAGTAGAATTCAAATACTAAATGGTTTTAAAAGAAATACATGCAATAAGAATTTTCTCTTTATGGACTTGCCAATATTGTCACCTCTTTCCATTTACTAGAAATACCATTTCAACAATGGCCATTGTTTAAATGCATATATTTGCATATAAGAAAAGTAATACTCTAAACTTTATCATGAAACAAAATATCTTGAAAAAGAATAAGCTATCCAATTACGATGCTTTCAAGAA